ACATTGTGGCTGCAATCAGTTTCAAAAATATATATTTTTTTTCCTATGGAATAAGTGGAATTGCTGCAGAAAGAAACTAGGTACCCCAAAATTCCCCTGCTAGACATGGGTTTATGGGATAAAATCAGACTACATAAACCAAAGTGAGAGACTCCTGATTGGTGGAACTTCTTCCTGCTCTGAGAGAGGTCTGCCTGTAGCAGTTGTCTGGTTATCTAACTCCAATTATCGGAGGTCTTGGAATTCATGATGTCATAGCAGTTTTTCCCTCAGTTTCCCTCAGCCTATATTCTCCACATCATCCTTCCCTCCACTCATCTCCAGCCATCTTACATAGCTTCACACTCACTCACATCAGTAGTACCATACGTCAGGACAGGAAGCCAGTCGTGGCTGCATCACAGACAGTTCCTTTGCAATAGACACAACTGGTCCTTTATAACATAGAAGCTCTACATTGAATATTATTGGCTAGATTAACTAGAAAGGTCGGCATCAAGGATTTATGAGATTAACTGGGCATTTTGCCGAGTTCAGCACAAAATGTGCTTTATTTAGGGTGTCAATGAGCTGCCGTCACAAAAGCAGTGGCATCTAGCCAGACTATTTACAGTTTAGCAGATAGATAGATGTTGATAGGAGAAGATGGTAAGACCCAATGGCACTCATCAAGTAATCTAGCTGAGCATCATGCAATTCTGCAGTGTGAGAATCCATTAAAGCCATAAATGGTATCTGGTTTTAATCCCAGTACATTTGCAGAAATCACAGAATTAATTCATTATACACTCAGCAGTAAAATTCATGGACAACTTCCAGTTCAAATTATTTAATATCCAAAGCTGACAGCTCAATGCCATCACTCTGTAACTTGCAAGACATACCGGTAATGTCCAAAGTCACCGTTAGAAAATCTTGTGATTAATGTGTTCTTTTGTGACCCACTCCACTCATGCAAGTACTAAACACTCAGTATTTTTTTATTGAGAAACTAGAAATTAAACCATTGCTGCCCTTTGCAGAGTCACCAACAATATTCTTGAAGATAGAGTTCATCTTGGTAAATAGAAGATTATTTAGAAAACAGCAGTAAAGTTTATTTTGCACTCTATGAACTATCGAACCTAGCGATAAAAGTGTTACACTATATATATAGTCTAGCTTTGATTGCATCAAAATTCTGTGCACGTCGGTTCCGTGTAAGCATTTTGGGACAAATTACAGAGGACGCCAGGAAAAAGCATGCGCAACCAGATACTCCATGATTCTGGACTGGGAACAGACAAAGCAACAGGACATGGGGATAACCATTGTATTTTAGAACTAACAGGGTTATACACTAAAGAGAAAATTCACAGTGAATTTCCAATGTAAGGCCAGAGTATCCAAACTGAAAACATAGCTTACTTAGAGAATTTTTCTGGTTCAACTATTTTAGCCTAAAAAGAATACTATAGTCACCTAAACCACTTCATCTCAATGACATGTCCTGGGTGCAGTGGTCTTGTCCTTTTAATGTCCTGTAATGTTAAACCTAGCAGTTTTTCTTTACCAACTGCAATATTTACATTGCATGGTTGGGTCCACCTTTAGAGGCACATCCACTGCACTGACCAAATAAAACTCTGTTATGTGACGCAGAAGCCCCCATAGGAGGCACTGATTCAATGCTTTTCTATGGGGAAGTCTGAATACGTGCAGAGCACTCGCATGTGCATTAGGTCCCTGATGTTCCACTATGAGGAGCATTGGATTGGACATCGGCAGAGGAGACCATGCCTTCTCCATGGAGTTGTGGAATGTGGGCCGGTAAGCCATGCAAAGAAAAAGGTCAATAAAACTTTAATATTAATAATGCACCTGGGGGGTACCTGAATATCTTTCATGAGATGCTCCATTTTATTTTAACGTATTTTAAATACATAGCAAGTGACATTATAATCCAGTTCAGACGAGGCAAGGCCAGGGCATACGATGCAAATAAGGAGGAGGAATAGAAACATTGTTTCCTTTCTCCAATTCTCCATATTACTGACTACAAGGTGCAAAAAAAGAATTTGCAGGATAAATAATGTGGAATTATACATTTCATTTTATTATCCACACCTCACAAAAGTATATTTGTTAAATAAAAGGATAAGAAAACACAATGCAAACAATCACTGAAAGGGACAGTTGTTTTAATGTTTAACTATTGTTTCAAGAAAAGGAATATTTAGGAAAGCAACTATTTAAAATGTTAGAGCCAAAATATCTTTACTATTAGTGCCTTTGCATTGTGAAATTAATGTTTTTATATTGAAACAAATTCATAAAAAGTTGTAATTTTTTAAGTGTTCCTATGCAGCTAAATAATAAAATAGATTTTATGTTTTACGTAGACATCATTGTACGGAGCACCTCGGAGTGCTTAGTTTATCGCTTGTTTTGTAATTATGTTATTTCTATGTTGAGAGCTTTCTTGCACTGTATGAAAAGTAGGTTCTCTCCGTCTCTCGCGGTGCGCGTGAAATGTGCTCGGTGCTGATCTGACATTCCAGTGATGCATCTTATTGAGATTCTGTTACAGAGCACAATACATTATCCTAACTGGCTTTTTAGTTTTTTTGGCCCTGGCAGTTTCAGAATATCATTCCCCAGGTACAAATCTAGGAGACTGGAACTAATTAGTAGAGGACGGGCATCTAGAGTCCCTATGTGGTTAAAGAAAAAAAAAAAACTATTGCTAGTAAATTATTGGTAAGCCAGCTTTACTTGGGAATAACACCCGCATGTTAATACAGTACAGAGTATCATTATCACTGCTTCCCATTGTCTGGTTGCCCTCATTTTGTCTGGCAACACGTCATGTGTCTTATGCCAATCTAGCTGTTATAAGATCCCCACACAGTCATATTGCGCAACTAGACACATTTTCTCCCTCTCTGTGTCTGATAACCTTTTTCCCTGTGTCTGTGTCCATATACTTCTCCCCATGTCTCTCTCCATCAACTTTCTTTCCTGTGTCTCTTTCCATCAGCTTTCTAGCGTTCTCTGCCTTTCACTTTTCCACCCCACGTCTCGCTCATTCAACCTCCCTCCTTGTGTCTCTCTTAAAGGGAACCTGTAGTCCTAAAAGTAACAATCGTTATTTTAGGACTAAATGTTCCCTTCTGTCCATCCTCTAATCCTCACAACAGAAAATGAAAGTTTAAAGGAGGTTACTCACCTTCTTTCCAGTGCCGGGACTCCTCTGCTGACTTCACCCGAGATATCCTTTAATCCATGCTTCTCATTGAGAAGCACTGGATTGGAACTAGGCACGCGCGGCCAAACGCTTCGCTACTTCAATCAAACGCTGATATCAGTCGCATTTCATTCCCAGACCAAATTTTACTCGGACCCACAGTCACTAGAGACGGATTTTTATCCCTGCAATGTAAACAATGAGGTTTCTAGAAAATGTTTTACATTCCAGGGTTAAAGTAACACGACCACTGTCCCCAATGAAGTGGTTTGGGTGATTATAGTGTCCCTTTAATCAGATCTCCTCCCCTACATACCTTTACAGACACAGAATCACATCCCCCTTAATGCAGGTCCTTCTCTGAATATTTACTTATTGCACACTCGCTTGGTGGGAGAACATTTTCTGTTGCTAACAAAGTCCGTAGATATGTCAATAATGCACCCAGAAACCAGAATGAAGCCATTACAGATGAGTGCTTTAGTGTTATCAAAGAAGAAACACACAATACAATACAAAACATGCAACGAATTGTCTACCACCCCAACCTGTTCAAAGATGAGTGAAAGTATCCACTCAATTATCTATGAATTAAATTAGTAATGAATACAATCATCTTTAGTTAAATTAGTAGCAATGTTTTTATTTAAAAAAAAAACCTAATAAGGTTTAGACAGTGTAATTAATATACTGCTATAAACCCACAATACCAGCTGAACACATTCATATCTGTCTACGCATTCCCATATTTTTTTTTTTTATTTTTTTTTATGCTAACATTCTGCACATTCACGTGAAAATACACTCTAGAACTCAAGCCTTCAAAACCTTCAGAGCGGAGTTCAGATAGAATTCTCATTGAAAGTACGCAGGAGACATCGTTAGTTTTCTGCTGAGGAATGTAGTAGGACAGCTGAATATTTGAGTCATCTGATCAGCCAATGATTCCCCACTATTTATAATATCTGCTGTAATGCACCATCCTTTTTAAAGCCAATTAGAAGGTTGGGTTATTTCAGAGTAGCTGCTATTTTTAAAAACCCTCTGGGTATTTCGTTCTTGACAGATTCTTTTCCCTATAACTGAAGGTTGATGATATTCATAACACTGAAGGCATAAGGACAAGCAAGGTCAATGTGAGATTATACAGATGAGACTGGATACTGTACAATGAGCAGAGCTCGTGCAGAGAATCACTACTGGACCAGGGTTGTGCTATGCTAAGAATTGCTCGAGATATAGCCATGAACACTATACACACCTCACCAATATTATATCTGGAGGATGCCTAATGGGTTAAGTATATTATTGGAATAATCACTTGACGATCTACATTTAGACAGAGATACAATTATCTATTTCCCATTGGGGAAACGTTGGGTAGCCAAAATTAATAATTCTGCATGCTGTCTTCGTGTATTTGGTATTTGTGACTTTGTTCTGCCCTCTAGTGTCAAAAAAAGGGTACTTTAAAGTAGGGCGAAACTGTTTTTTTTTTATATTTCATTTTAAATATATATATATATACATATACACTCATGTTTGTTTTTAAAATTTTAACACCGCAAACTGGAAAAGCTGTCCAACAAAAATCACTATATACACCTGTTCTCCATTGGATAGCCAATTAAAATCTGTTTCCTGAGCTTTTTGTTTTACAAACGTTTAAAGAAAGATTTGTAGATGTCCAAAAGAGAAAAAAAAAAAAGAAGAAAGTACTGCTTTGTACAATAGGAGACAGATATTTTACAATACAGTCATTCCAGTCTGTGCCCTTCATTCATATAACATGAATGAGTTATGTGACAGCAACATGTTTAGAGAATTTAAAATGTTGTTTGCTATACATTTGTTAATTATTCAGCCTGAACATTGTACGGGCACATCCATACTTCTGACACCCAATTTTGTAATGACATCAAACATTGAAAGAGAATTTACTTTTGCTTATTTACCAGCACAGCCTTCAGCTTACTATATGTGTAATTTCCGCTTATCACTTTAATCACTCAGTCTCTGTGACTCTGTCCTCTCGTGATTTTCCGCTCATCTCTCCCAACGCTCATTCAGTGTCTCCTTTTCTAATGATACCTCCTTCCCCTCGTCCTGTCTTGGTTGGAGTCCCCCAAGGCTCTGTCCTTGGTCCCCTTCTATTTTCTCCTTATACTGCCTCTCTTGGCAAGCTTATTGCCTCATTTAGATTCCACTACCACCTGCACACTGATGATACCCAGTTATATCTCTCCTCCCCAGACCTCTCCCCTGCTGTCCTGCAACGACTCACTGCTTGCCTTTCTTCCATCTCTGACTGGATGTCCTCCCGCTTTCTGAAACTCAATCTCTCTAAAACTGAGCTCCTTGTCTTTCCGCCTCCTAATAATAATCCTCTTCTTTCGCTCTCCCTTCAAGTTAGTGGTACCCACATCAGTCAGGGCCGTCTTTAAGGAGGGGCAAACGGGGCAGCTGCCCTGGGCCCAGTTACTCATGGGGGCCCAAAGCAGCTGCCCCGTGGGCCCCATCACCTGCAACAAAAAATTATTTTTTTAAAATATTCCCCTACCTAATGGGCCCACGGTGCTAGTATTGCGGCTGCACCGGGGACCGCACACTAAGGGGGCCCACCGGGTGGCCCATACCTTTAGGGCCACCCAGTGGGCATGTTCCAGCAGGGGTCCGGTCGGCGCTGTGGATTTAACAGTGCGACCGGGTCCTTGCTTAACGGCTGCATGGGAGGAAGTGACAGCCGTGAATCACTTCCTCCCACCTCAAAGACATCGGGCCGCCCGGGAGGCTGCTGTGCCAGTATCCAGTGAGGAGGGGGAGCAAGAAGAGCCAGACCTCCAACTCCCAACTACCACAGCCAGCACACTGGACCCCAGGGAAGGAAGCCTCTTTCAAAGGTAGGAAACTGAAGAGTGTCTGTCTGTGTGTGCGTCAGTATGTATGTCTGTGTGTGTCAGTATGTATGTATGTCTTTGTGTGTGTCAGTATGTATGTCTGTGTGTGTGTCAGTCAGTATGTCTGTGTGTGTGTCAGTTTGTATGTCTGTGTGTATGTCAGTATGTCTGTATGTGTCAGTTTGTGTAGAAAAGCACAAATAAGGGTGCGCCTAAGACAAGTAGAATGAGTGTATAAAAATATGTATCAGAGAGTCCAAGCAGCGATACCTAGAAAGTCCGAATATAAATAATCCACATATGCAGGAGGTAGTCCTAGTGCTACATAAAATGGTATGTGAAGTCCCAGATGTATATCCGCAGCTTCAAAATGGATATGTGAAGAAAACAGAAGACAAGGGAAACTCCAATGGTATAGTATGAACGGTAAAATAATATTGTATATAGAATAGTAGAACTACTCATAATATTCAGAGCTTATATCCAGCTCTGGTGTAAATGGCACGTAGTGGAATAATCCCCACTCAAGGATATACGTTGCTCCTCTTTTGTTCTTTAGCAGAGTACTTTGGTGGAGTAGTCCAGCTCGAGGTAAAAGAATAAAATATAGTGCTCACTGTATAGTTGATAAAATGTAAAAACAGAATAAAATATACTCACGGTATATAGAGCAGATGTACTGCTCGGTGGATGGCGTATGGGTGGT